ACCTTTGTGGACTGCCCGAGCATTACGCTGTTTATTTGATTTGTTGTCTGGAACTCTGAAAATCCATTTGGAGCCGCAGTGGACTGCCCGAGGGCAGGAGATTTTTTCCTTATCCTTCTTGGAAATGCAAGCCACTAAATCAATAAATTTGTTGCGTAACAGCGATGGGCATTAATAATCTGCTATACAACAGGTCTCAAAACTGAAGGCCGGCGGAAGTCGGTAGGCTTTAATTTGTTATTATACATGTATTTTAACTTTGTCTTTTAAAAAAAAATTCATAACACTGTTTTAAAAAATGGTTTAGTTTTCCCTGTCACTGATTAATGAGTGTGTATCCACCTCTGCCCGAGTGAGCAAGACAGAAGAATTTTAGTTACCTGACTCAGATAGTAGATACGTCTTGCTCGGAATCATTTTCTTAGAGGGGTTTTGCTTATCTTATAGCTTGCCTACCTTGTTGGAACGTTCAACTTAGAGTGATTTCAAGTCATTCAAATTTGTATGATTTTTGTGAAAAATCAGAGTACTAAAATCTGAGGATAATTTTTCCCTTTGAAATGTAACTAAACCGTCAAATTGCACGCTGTTAAATATCCTCAGTTTACGTGATATCTTACTTACGGCTCTACCTTAAGCCTTAGGTTCAAAACGGCTTTACCCGTAGGTTCAAAACGGCTTTACCTTAGGTTCAAAATTAGGTTCGAAACGGCTTTACCATAGTTTCAAAACGGCTTTACCGTAGGTTTAAAACGGCTTTACCTCAGGTCCAAAACGGCTTTACATTAGGTTCAAAGCGGGTTCAAATTGAGTTGTTCGCATCTGCCTGTACATAATGGTACAGTCAAACAAATAGCTAAAACAGTTTGTCACGCCTCAGGTGAAGACAGTCGAATGTATGGTTTCGGTTGGCACGTTCTCTCCAACGCCATCATCGATAAGAAGTAACTGCCCCCCAAACTAACAGATTCATTCTCACCATCACCAATACCAACTATTCAGTCATTACCATTCGTGCAAGAATAACTCGTATGCCTACCCTATATCTTGTTCTGTGTGTATGTGTGTGTACGTGTGTGTGGAGGTGTTGGCACACATGTGTGTGTGTGTATGTGTGTTCTCATTTTGCCAAATATTTTCAGATAATGTATTTAATGTGCAGTTTAATACACCACTTCGTCTCGTAACCTTGGAGAAGAAAAAAAGCATCTGATATCCAAGGTCACACTTAAAGTTAGTTAAGTTCGGTCGTATTGAGCCAAAATGACAGCTTTTGCCCCCTCATCCATGAAGGAAAATAATCTGGATGGTCCCTGACTGAGACCAATGAATCTGTTCGTCAGTGTGCACCGGGCATTAGCAGGGTCTCAAGATACGGGAACGGTGGCCCGTACATGCAGGGTGTCATATAACGACGTACCACGGGTATGGATGGAATATAAATGGGGTTGTTTTTTTTTTGGGG